CACGATCAGATGGCCATGCTCAGCCACCAGCGCTTCAACACCCTCACGGCTCGCATCCAGCACAGCCTGCTCGGGCGGAAGATCCTGGCTGCCATCATCATGAGGAGAGGAAGCAAGGGCCTGGGAGTGGTGGTCAGCATCGGCACGGGTATGAGCGGCTTCTTCCAGCGTGCGCTGAACCCTCGCTTCCCCGCTAAATTCCCTGTCAGCCGCGACTGGGGAATGGCTGTTGCCAGAGGCATCTTCGGAGAGGGCAAGAAGCGTTCCCAGGGCTGGCGTGGTGTCACAAGTGATCTGGTTATTGAGAGGGAACAAAGCGAATGTGCCTGCAGCTGTATTGCTCTTAATCTTTGCTTGCATTGCTGCGCGCTAGGCTGTGCATCGGAGCGTGGCTTCCTCGCGCTGTGCGGCACAAGATCCCCCAGCTTCTCTCCGCTGCAGCTTAGCTCCCGAATTCGCTGCCACACTTCCACCCGGAGTGGCGGGCTGGAAAGCGCTCAGGAGGGGACACTGCTCCCAAAGCTGTGGCAGTTTGTCTCCGCTGTCCCTGAAGTGGTGTGTGTTCTTTGTCCCTTTATTTTCCCAGCTGCGTGGGTCAGGATAACGATTTAACAGTCTGCGCTGGGGCCCAAAGAAGTCAAACTCGAAGCAAGAGGAAACCCTCTGTCTTCCTGCGTGCTGACACTGACACTTGGCTTTTTACTCATTTCAGGCAATCGCTGCGTGAAGGGAGAGGAGCTGAGCTTGAAGGGGGAGACGGTGAATGACTGTCATGCGGAAATCATTTCTCGAAGAGGCTTTGTGAGGTGAGAGAAGGGCAACGCTGAAGGAGAGGGGCCGGCCAGGAGGTGCTGCCCCATTCTAGAGGGATGTAGCCGGAGCGGTTCCTTGCTGTGTGGAGAGAGGCTGCAATCCTCAACACTGCCCTTTACCCAAGTGTTGTTAAATAGTGGGAAGTTATTTCTGATAAGAAAGGGCCATGCCTGAATGGTGCCCAAATTAGTACCGACCTGGAGACTTGCCAAGAGCCCAAGGGCTGCATCTGATGTACTTAAAATAAAGCATCCAGCAGAGGCTGCTTTTTTTGGAGCCGTGTCGGCCCGAGCACGGCTCTGTCTGAGTCACGGTGCTGGGGAATCCGCCGGCCCTCTTGGCTGTGCTGGGTCTGGGAGTAGAAGGCTTCAGGAAAACATACGGAATGTGTTTGCGGTGATAAGTCAGAAATCCTTTTCCATTGGCTGGAAAGGGTTTTCCCGACTGAACTGCACGATTGTTCTCTGTAAGAACACTCAGTGGGGCACTTTTTTAAACTAAAGTGAGATGAAGCGGGACCTTGTTCGTCTCTGCCCTTCCAAAACAGCAAAGCCAGCTGCTGTCTTAACACCTTTGCCTGCTGCCGCTGCCCTCTGCGTTCCTGAGCCCTGGAAGGTGTTGAGGGCAGGTCGCCGTAAAGCCGCGGGGCCGGAGGGTTGCACTCGTGCTTGCTGCCTCTCTAGGCTGTTAATCCTGACAGTTGTGGCTGCCGGGCTGCTCTGGCACAGCAGAGCCTGTCAGACGAGAACAGTTTGCTCCATCTCTCCTTCCAAAAATAGTCCCTGCACAGGCTCTACTTGAGGAATCTCTGGGAAGCTGCAGTTTTTCCTTAGTCCTTGACGCTGTGTCGGAGACCTCGGGGTTTTTCCCTGTCCCCGCACAGCAGCAGCCGCAAAAGGCACAGTCACTGTAAACAGATCGCGGGGCTATGCTAATAATACCACTCGCGTCCAGCTGCCCGTGGGGCTGTTTACTCGTACTGCAGACTTGGTGCTGACTAAAGGTGCTGGGCGAACAACCTTGGAGTCTTCTTCACGCTCGGATCACATGAGCACCAACAGCAGCCAGCCGGGCTCCTTTCTCTGCCAGTGCTTCCCTCTGCTCACCTGACAGCATATTTTCTGTTGTGTCTCCTCTGTCTGACAGGAAATCTGCCTGATTTCCTGCCTTTTCTGTAGCATCAGATGCTGGATGTTGGCTCCCAAGTATCCTCAGCCATGGCTCCCAATCTTTGCTCTCCCATGCAGCTTGCTACAACGGAGGCAGAGCTGGGGACCCTGCCTGTGCCAGGCGTGGGCAGTGGTTGGATTGATTGAGGGGTGAATCATGGAATGGTTTGGGTGG